GGTGCCCTCTACTCGCTCCAACAGCTCCATGTCTCTCCTGTACTGGGGCCCCCCGAGCTGGACGCAGTACTGCAGGTGGGGTCTCACCAGAGCAGAGTAGAGGGGCAGGATCACCTCCCTCGACCTGCTGGTCACACTTCTTTGGATGCAGCCCAGGACACGGTTGGCTTTCTGGGCTGCAAGCGCACACATTGCTGGCTTATGTTGAGCTTCTTATCAATCAATGCCCCCAAGTCCTTCTCCTCAGGGCTACTCTCAATCCATTCCTCACCCAGCCTATAGTTTCTAATATATATTTCTAAATAAGGTAGTTAAGTATCATACATTGTGCTTGCAACTATGCTTAGTGTTAAAAATAGTTAATGGGTCACTTAAAGCTGTCAGGAAAACCAGTGTCCACAGTTTCAGTGTGTGGAGGCAGCTGAGTGATGAGGCACAGGATTCTCCCATGTAAAAAAGCAGTTGTCTCTTGAACTGAGTATCTAACTGCCATCAGTGCTGGAGGAGATGCCAGGCACACTTCAGATGCCATTGCCCAGTAGACAATAATGAGATACAGCCTAGGACCTGTGACAAGGAAGTGACAAACTCAGCACTCCAGCACTGTTCTTTTTCCACCCAGAATTGGTGTTCAGGGTTTTGGAGTTTGTCTCTGAGATTTCTGAAGTCTGGCAACATGCTTGGAGCAGTGGCTCCAGCTGGGCTCATGAGTGTGTATGGCTTTCAGAATTACCTCGAATGTTGCTCTGGCAGTCTTACTCCATTATTCCTGAAAGCCACCATTGGTGGTGAAAACATTGGTTGTAGGTGAATGGCTCTATGCTCTCCAGTGTTTGAGACCTCAGGGACCTGCTTATTCTCTTGGTGCACATACCATAAAGGTGGTGTTTTCATTTCATTTTTTGTTTGTTTGTTTTTCAAAACACTCTCAGTATGACTCTGCTTACATTGAAAATTGAACAAGATAGTGAGAGATGGACAAGACCTCGGTAGCCTCCCCTAGGGATGCATGCTCTGGTTCCTTCCTTGAAGGTCATCTGTTCTCTAGCTGCAGATAGCAAACGCAGGGACCTGTAGCGCGCCCTGCAGCCTGTGTCTCTGCCGGCAGGGACTTCTCACTGTGCTGTCTGTGAACCTGGATCACAGCCCCTGCTCCACAGTTTTCCCAAACTTTGGTCCTCTTAAGCTGCCAGTCTCCACAGTCATTCCCAGTCCTCTTTTAGGGAGACCCCCAGCACCTACACGATACATTTCATCACACCCCTCTGATGTGGGGCACTGGGTACTTTTTAGCTGCACCTTGGCAGCTACCTGAGTGGAATAATTAATCCGCTGGAGTATATTGCTGCTCTGTATCCTGGCTGCTCAAAGATTATTTTTTTTTGTTTGGAATTACAGATACTTCTGATGAATAAAGAAATCAGCACAGTAGAACTGGATTTCCTACTAAGATACCCAGCACAGACCAGAGTCACAAGCCCTGTGGAGTTCCTGTCTGATCACTCCTGGGGAGGAATCAAGGTACCTGTTTCACTTGAGCTGTGGGAAACCAGCATCCCTTATCTCCTCTGAAAGCCTTTCAGCAGCCTTCAGGTTGGTCCTTAGAGCATTTGGTGAACAAAGTTCTGACCATACACGAGAAGTAGCACAAAAATGCCACAGAAATGGAGACTTCTGTAGGTACGAGACTGGCTTTGGGGGCTCTTCATGACTGTACCCTGATGTCCTGTGTGTCCCCAAGAATGTGATTTTTCCCTCTGAGATTTAGGCTTCTCTCTTTCTGAGAGGAATGAGATTATCCTCTGATTTTTGTGGTTATAGATTGCAAAGGGCATGGAGATCTTTGCTGTATTTGGGAGGAGGTGGGAATTTAAGGTAAATATGACCATCTGCAGAGATGTGGTGGGGATAGAGTAGTGACAGCTGACCTTCTGCAAAAAAATGCTGTCATGGCAATGAGAAGGTCTAACAGATGCCATGTGTTGGGAGTGAGAGGTGAGGAAGAGCATCCCAAAGAGATGTGAGTTATCCCATTTATTTGTCAACGAACGCAGATTGTGCTGGATTTGAACCTGATTCAACAGGGTGTGATTTGTTTTCTGGAACAGAACAAAATGTTCTTTAAACTAGACATGCTCATTCACACCTTGTTGGATCTGAGATTGTATCTTTTGTTTTATTGTTGCTTCTGATCAGTCTTTGGCACCTGCTGTGATTTAAGAATCAGTTTTATTTATAGCATGCTGCCTTCGTAGGACATTTCTCTAGTGCTGTAAAGTAGGGAGTGCAGACATCCTGGTTTCATTGGGATAGTTCTCAAATTTTCATCTGGGACATTGTGTTTTCTCTTCCTCTCCCTTCCACAATGCTGCACAGAGAATGTGTCTGGTTCCTGGTGTTTGGTTTCGAAACAAAGCATCTTCATCCAGGCCCAAGATATCTCTGATACTGTTTTCCCGTTTGTTATGTTTTGTGGAGATTTCCAGAGTTTTGCAGGAACCCTGGCTTATGGTGCCAGATGCCTTTCTAGGCAAGTGCATGCTAGGCTGTGCTTCACTTGGCAAACACTGCCTTAACACTGAGTTAGAGCTCTAAGTTGCAGACTGCAGTTCAGAAGTTAAATGAAGCTGATATTTCTAACCTGGGTCACCCGTAGTGATTTCAAGTGGTAGCATGGAACAACTTGTGCCAGATGAGTCTGTCCTGACCAGGAGTTATCATCTCTGTCTCTCCACTGGCAGTGAGGATGGGTCCTCTGCCTCATTCTGCGCACGCACGCGACCTAGCTCATGTTGAAAATGTCACAATCACATTTTCAGCCATAAAATAAGCTTGGAACTTCTTGCTAACCAGCCCTGTTCATCCTCTAAAAGGCATATTTCCATAATAATGGAGGAATTAAAAAAAATTTTACAGCCTTTCTTTAATCATCTTTTGTTCAGCGGTGTCATTATGCTGTTCAGACAGCAGCAGTTTTATTTTTGTTTCTCCTTTGAAGACAAATTAAATGGACACTTAGGGTCAACACACATAATCAGGGGAACTCGACCACCAAGCCCATGAAATACATGCTTTGCAACAGCATATTTTGTCTTTGGGCTGTGCAGTCTGTGTAGATTGTATGTGTACATACATTTTATTGCTTGAAAACTCCAGCTTTCTAAACTCTGCTCTGCCCTTGCCCATGTTCAGCGTGGGGATGAATGGGGTGAATGGTGCATTTCATTTCCACTGGAGTCCTTCTGGGTTGGTGTTCTTCACTGCTTGGGAACATTCTGCACCACAAAGCTTCTTTCTACTTCAGTCCTCTGAGTTTCCTCTGGAAGGTGAACTTCTTTCCACCATAGGATTCAGAGATTTTAGGCTCTGATTCTTATTTTGGAGATCCTTTTATGCATCTTAAGAAACTTATTACTCTCATAGTGCCCAAGGATGCCTTTGCTAATCCTGCCTGCTGCTGGTACATTCTCCAAACAGACACCTAAGTGTGCAGTGAGTTTTCTTTGTGAGATAATCCCATTGTGCTGCCCAGTTCCATTCAATGTGGGTGAAATGGTCTTTCATGTTCTCGGTGTGCTTCATCATGATTGTTTCAACTGCCTCCCTACTGTGATGAAGTTGGTACAGTTGCCAGCTCAGGGTCTTAAACACCAGAAGGAACATCAACTCCCAGTCATTCATTCTTCAGACTTTATTCTTGCATCACTACTTGACACATCCAGGAGAACAGGCATTTCTGTTCATAGAGTGTCAAAGTACATAGCATACTGTGTCAGAGCCTGCTATGAAACCAGCATTAAGGAACTTCTACTCATCAGAGCTCAAACACTGTCAGTGGCATCATTGAACAAGGTCTTCACCCCTTCCATCAGCTATGTGTCCCAGCTTCATCCCCACCAGCAGCCTGCACTCCATCATCCTTTGGCCATCCAAAACTGATGCAGTGTTGGGCATTTATCATATAGTTATTGTGTGCATGGAGTAGCTGGAGGCTTGTCCTGAGGTAGGCAGGAATTGAGAGTGGACTGTCACCTGAAGTTGCTTTGCAATAACTGATTCTCTCTGAGATGAGCCTTTCCCATGCAGCTTCCTCTCTCCCATTGAGTCTCTTGGTGTTTGTGGTTGAGATGGAAACTATGAGATGCCAAGAAATGCTGCTCTGCATCTACGCTTTTGCTGAGCCGTGAAATGGCAAGATGTTTATGTGTCCAAGTGTGTTGCACACGTAAGGTGTCTTCAGCCTGAGCATGCATCTGCTGTCCCCATGAACTGCACATCTCCAAGAGCTGCAGTCACTGGTCAATAATCTGTGCTAATTTTATGTATTTCAGGATTTTCAGATAGCGAATTCTATATTATCAGATACCGAATACTCTTCAGATTGTCTATTGTGATGATTGTAGTAATGATTTTGCTATAAATAATATGGCTGGTGTCAACTTTATTAGTGTTTATGTTCTATTAATGTGTGTTGGTTTATTAGCCTTTGAGTTTTTGGCAACTCCAGTTACTTGAGGCATGGTTTTAGTACAATCACATTTTGTCACAGACTGCTATAATTAGGTTAATTAGTCATGGCTTCTGTACAGCTTATTAGCAGGCTAAAATCTCCTTTTCTTTCATCAGGAAGATTAAGTGCTGTAATAAATTGTTTCTTCAACAAAGCTTGAGCAAAGTACATTTCAGATTCATATTTCAAATTTGAAGTGGAATTTAGCATTCTGCTAATTTTTCACAGAATCATTGAAAATGCTTCTGCAGAAACTGCTCCTCTTGCCAGGGGTTTCAGGCCAAGATAGTAGTGCCAAAAGAAATCAATATTGATATTTGTGGCCCATTCTGTGCCTCCCATTTTGGGCACATTAACTTCAAAGGAAACCTCATTAAATGTTGAGGACTCTGGGCACGCAAATAGCCTCGTGTGACTTGGCTTGTTATTTATTGTTGTTGTTTGATTAATAATATATATAGGCTCATAGTCCTTTGCATGTTGTGCAACTGTTTTCAGCTCATGATGCTGGAGCATGAGACACACGTTTATGATCTTCCAGCTTCGTTTAAGCTCAGTAAAAAGTTTCACAGAGCCTTTTGTTGTAATGTGTGTGCCAGGGAAGCTCAATATTTACCACTAAATGAAGAAACCCACATACCTGTCCAGAAGGACACAGTTTGTAAAGAAGGGTAGTATCTTTTATTAGATCTGCTGATAGGGTTGGAAAAAATGGGAAAGTGTCAGGCTTTTTAGTGCTTCTTTAAGCTTGAAACAGAAATTGAATTCAAACTAAGTATAGCTCTGAGCTTAACTTCATCAGTCAGCCTATATGTAGAAAAAGCAATACCTGTGGAGCACATTAGTTAGCTCTGGATCAAAGGACACAGTCATTAGCCTCCGTGCAAACGCTGCCTCTGGGTTGTTGAAGGGTTAGTTAAGAGCAGGAAAGGGAGAAAATTGTATCATTTAATGAAAGTAGTTCCTTTGCTAAGTCCCTGGCTCTGGTGTTCACTAGAGTTGGTTGTTTCAGTTCTAAGGCCTTTCTTTGGCAGGTACTTAATAGTGCTATCTTGAGAAGTCAAAAATATTCTTTTACTCTTAATGAGGTTTTCTGTCTTTTTTCATTTTCCTTTATTGCAGTATGTTATACTTTCCTCACACTCTGTGTTCCCAGTACCTAGCTTGTAATTTTTTATTACAGTTGGTACTTCTGAAAAAGTTTTTTGTGTGCATGCAAGGTTGTCCATTTCTCCTGACTTGGCTGTTCGTTACCTTACCAATAAATGTGTGGACACACCTTAGACCACAAAGGCACAATGATGCTAGTGCTTGAACTGCACAGGACGTCAGGCCACAGCCATGTGCAAATGACCATTTTGATATTCTTGTTGCATGATTGAACTTAACATAGAATCAGTGTAGAGATTGTCCTCTGTAGGGTTTTTCACCTTTTTTTTTTCTTCTTTCCTTCACTGGAAGGTCTCCAGTGTCATAAGATGAAGGTGTTGATACCTACATGGGAGGCGGGTGTTCTCTGAGTTGATGCACTGTGTTCCCTTCAGCCCTGAGTGAAACCCAGTTTGCTTGCTGAGCTATTCAGTTATCCATAGGGCTAGGACAGATAGCTCATGTCATGGTTCTACTCTGAGCATGGATATAGAAATGACATCACTGGGTTTTACAGTTGTTGAGTCTTCCAGACTACATCTAGACTAACAAGTAAAATGCACCAGCAGTTGTTGTCTGGCCCTGGCAGCACCTGAATCCATACAGTGAAACTCCTCTCACATCCCAAACCAGAGAGACCTCATACATTGTTTACTGCGGGTGGTCCCTGGAGTGTCCTCCCCCCTGGGCTATGTCCAGGCATTTTCTGAGAGCTGGTAAGTTCACCAAAGTCAAATGTGAGCCAGCAAGATTCTAGCAAACTGTGTGGCTCATGGTGAGCTTGTGCCTGGACCTCTCCTGTAGTCACAGATTCAGGAGCAGATCAGCAGGCAAGAAAAAAGTATGTGTCTTCTCCTCACTG